AGGTCTAGTCAGAGACATATTAGAGGCAGAAACAGGAGTTAGGAGGGGTAGAGGTAGACCTAGATTAGATTACTGTTCGCAAATAGTTTAGGATGCGGGCTGTTCTAGTTTTAGGAAAATGCGAAGTTTATCTCAGGATAGGAAAGAGTGGAGGTACGTGTCCAACCAGTCTTAGGACTGACGACCTTATGATGATGAATAAATAAAACCAATTTGGGCAAATACCCAATTATGAAGTTTTGTTTCTTAGGTCGCCGATTTGACTCGAATAATCAAATGACGAATTGGTGGAACCAGAAAGATTACTTAAACTACGAATTTCATGAAGAATGTTTTCGAAAATTTTACAACGTTAGTGACAGTGATTGGAGAATTAGTGCTAATGAAAATATAGCAGATTTTGTCGGTGTTTTCACCAGCTATCAGGCTTATCAGGAATCCAAAGAATCAAATGAAGATGTTATACCATTTCTGGAAAATTATACCAATGAGCAATTGTTTTTTATAGGATACTCACAGGTAAAAGGTTTAGATGTAACTGTTACCCTCTTACTAACCTTCTTAGGGTTTCTAAATGAGTAACTGAACCTTTGTAAAAACAAATAATATTATCTGAGCTGGATTTCCATGATCTCTTTTGGTTTAGAACTCCAAATGTTTCGTCAGTAGTCATGGCGAGACCAAAGCCTGTTTGAATTTTTAAATGTGAAGTGTCTTTGGTTATGGATGAAGATGGATTTCGCAGCTAAAAAAGAAACCTTTGGACTTTTAAACCAAAACGGACCATGGCAACCCAACTCTGAGAATGTTAACTTCATTTATAGACACTAGTCGTGAAAACCTACATTACCCTATCAGATCATTCACATTCATCATTGTGATTATTCGTCTGTTCATCTGTCAGTCGATTTTCAACTCGAGGGGTGTTTTTGATAGATTAAGTAACAAAGAGTTTAAAAATATTTCTTTTTAATTTTTGACATCATATTTCAGGCTCGATTTTGTTTAGTACATAATTTTTTATCAGTACCTACCGATCAACAATTTTGCATTTCCTCTAGATAGAATCTGTATTTTCTTGCAGGTTTGGTGTGAAACAATAGAAGACCAAAATTTCATGTACAATGATGAACATCTACCTGTGAATATCAGAGTCGAAAGTGTTTTACAAAATTTAAATTGGTTTCAAACAAATTTCAACTGCATGAAAAACCATATACNGCCATTTGTAGTATTTCCTTTAGTCATTGTTTATAAGATTTAATATTATACATATATGTATAGAGAAATTATTACTGTTTTTACTGTATTTTTGATTGCAGTCTCCCTCAGTTGGAGAGAATTTAATTTTTAACATTTTGGTACAGGAATAGGGTTACAGTTTTAGAAAGCTCCATGTAGGACGCCACTAATTCTAATTGGGCAATGATTACGAATTCATTTTTGCATTTCTAATTTTAATGGTCCAATTTCAACTCTGCTTACGTAAACTAACTTCTTTTTTGTAGCTTAACATAACAGAAAACTACTTCCTCAACGTAATAAAATTGAAAAGCTTTCGCATTCAAAAAATGTTGGAAAAGTTGAACCAACAAGTGGATGATATAGCGTAAGTGAGTTAGGTATTTATTGACTAAATTTTTTTGGCGGTTAAACAAATACTAAAATTGTCAAGTCTAAATTCCAATAATATCGTTTCACTAGCGTGAGTGACGAGCTTCTGCAGAGATCCTTCCGTCTCCGATACTAGATGTGGACCGAGGAGAAGGAAGGACCTCTAAAGCAACTCCAACCGACGTGTGAAACTTCCTGATTCGCCCTTAGTTTAATAAATTGTGTTTAATAGGGTACCAGAAAGAGCAGTACAAACAAATGCATATTATAATGTGCTTCAAAACAGCGTAAGTAAGTGTTATATGGCAAATGATTTAGCCTTAAATTAAACATAAAATTAAACAAAACAAAATAATTTTTTGTTTTAGTTATTCCCCTAGGCTTGATGGAACCGCCATTTTACTATAGAAATGCATCCAGGTAGGTAACACAGTATTTGCTTACTGAACACCAACATAAATCTATCTAAATTTTCTTTTGATTTACAGGGCAATTAATTTTGGTGCCTTAGGAAGTCTAATCGGTCATGAAATGTCCCATTCTTTGGACTGGAACGGTAATCTAGTTGAATTAATTAACTACAATTACTTAGTTTACAAAAGAATCAAGGTAGAAGAAGGTGATAATGTCTTTGTTTGTTATAGAATCGACACCACAGTTTCACCTCTTGTTCTTTTAGTCAGTTAGAATCTACCTTGATAAAGACTCCCAACAAGAGACGAAACGTTGGTGTCGGTTCAATAACCAATAAAGACATTATCCCCTCTTTTACCTTGACTCTTCATATTAGAACTAGGGGAAGAAATAGCGAATTTACTTAGTTTACTTCAAAAGAATTTTTATTACCTTCTCCTATCCAACTGTCCATAAATTACGCAAGGCAATTTGAAAGAAGGGAGATCCAGTTACGTGGAGGGATGTGGGGGTCAAAGTTTCCGTTACTTTACAACGCACGGAGCGTTTCGGCTATTAAATCATCTTCAAAGAGTATTACATTAAAACAAATCTTTTTAATTAATAAATAAAATAGCTTTAAATAAAATGGAAGCGGTACTGACAGATCAGTACTGTATGAAAATAAATAAAAGTAAAACTAAAATACTGGTATGCAAGGGAAGAAAAAGTAGGGAAAGAGCGAATATAAAGATAGGAGACGAAAAATTAGAAGAAGTGGCTGATTTTAGATACCTAGGAAGTCAGATAAGTGAGGATGGAAGGAGTAGTAGGGATATAAAGCAGAGGATAGCGCAGGGTCGTGTCGCCTTTAATAAAAAGAAGTCACTTCTATGCTCGCGAACGGTTAATTTAGAAATTCGAAAAAGGTTGTTAAAGGTGTATGTTTGGAGCACGGCGTTGTACGGGTGCGAAACATGGACAGTGGGAGCGGCGGAAAAGAAAAGGTTAGAAGCGTTCGAAATGTGGTGTTATAGGCGGATGATGAGGATATCGTGGGTAGAAAAGGTTAGAAATGAAGAGGTATTGGAAAGAATAGGAGAACAGAGGACTCTATGGAAGTCAATAAAAAATAGGCGAGATAGGTTGGTAGGACACCTTCTCAGGCATGAAGGTCTAGTCAGAGACATATTAGAGGCAGAAACAGGAGTTAGGAGGGGTAGAGGTAGACCTAGATTAGATTACTGTTCGCAAATAGTTTAGGATGCGGGCTGTTCTAGTTTTAGGAAAATGCGAAGTTTATCTCAGGATAGGAAAGAGTGGAGGTACGTGTCCAACCAGTCTTAGGACTGACGACCTTATGATGATGAATAAATAAAACCAATTTGGGCAAATACCCAATTATGAAGTTTTGTTTCTTAGGTCGCCGATTTGACTCGAATAATCAAATGACGAATTGGTGGAACCAGAAAGATTACTTAAACTACGAATTTCATGAAGAATGTTTTCGAAAATTTTACAACGTTAGTGACAGTGATTGGAGAATTAGTGCTAATGAAAATATAGCAGATTTTGTCGGTGTTTTCACCAGCTATCAGGCTTATCAGGAATCCAAAGAATCAAATGAAGATGTTATACCATTTCTGGAAAATTATACCAATGAGCAATTGTTTTTTATAGGATACTCACAGGTAAAAGGTTTAGATGTAACTGTTACCCTCTTACTAACCTTCTTAGGGTTTCTAAATGAGTAACTGAACCTTTGTAAAAACAAATAATATTATCTGAGCTGGATTTCCATGATCTCTTTTGGTTTAGAACTCCAAATGTTTCGTCAGTAGTCATGGCGAGACCAAAGCCTGTTTGAATTTTTAAATGTGAAGTGTCTTTGGTTATGGATGAAGATGGATTTCGCAGCTAAAAAAGAAACCTTTGGACTTTTAAACCAAAACGGACCATGGCAACCCAACTCTGAGAATGTTAACTTCATTTATAGACACTAGTCGTGAAAACCTACATTACCCTATCAGATCATTCACATTCATCATTGTGATTATTCGTCTGTTCATCTGTCAGTCGATTTTCAACTCGAGGGGTGTTTTTGATAGATTAAGTAACAAAGAGTTTAAAAATATTTCTTTTTAATTTTTGACATCATATTTCAGGCTCGATTTTGTTTAGTACATAATTTTTTATCAGTACCTACCGATCAACAATTTTGCATTTCCTCTAGATAGAATCTGTATTTTCTTGCAGGTTTGGTGTGAAACAATAGAAGACCAAAATTTCATGTACAATGATGAACATCTACCTGTGAATATCAGAGTCGAAAGTGTTTTACAAAATTTAAATTGGTTTCAAACAAATTTCAACTGCATGAAAAACCATATACCAAAGTGTACAATATGGTAATGGTTTTTTCTTTTAATTTACAAAAGTGATTAATACCAAAGCAGAGCAGAAGATCAGTTGTTTTTTAGTTTATTTTTCTTTAGTTAATGTTTCTTTTATAAAGTATTCAACCATTTTTAACGAATAAAATTGAAGTACTTGCTTTTGTTATTTTATGTTTGAAATCTGATTTAGATCATAAATATTTATTAGACCTGAAGGTTTATCCATTCATTTAGAGTAATACCAATGCTATGAAGAGTTCTTTAAACATTTCACTCGCTCGTATAAATAGCCTCCATCAGTACATTCTTTTCTAAAAACATTTTTAGTGTCCTACAAGGTTTTCCCCGCACCTCCCCGCATTATCCACTATTTCTGACTAGAGTTTTCACCTCCACTATCTGTGCCACCACTTTTGTCTTGCTGTTCCTTGCTTTTGTACATTTAACGAGACCAAGACAGTAGTCAAGTTAAATCAACAGTTAAAACACAAGGAACGACTAACATTAGATTGTTGATTATATCAATATTCACTAATTAAAACTCAAAAATGAGATCGATTGAAAATGCGAAAAGAGAAAATTTATCTTATTTAATCAAATGACGATATACAGATACATTTCTATTCATTCTCACTGTTTTACCTGATGTTCAAAGGGCCCTGCTAGATCCTTACGGAAAAGGATCCTGTGTCAATTCGTTGTAACCTTAGAACCTTGGATCCTGGCAGCCCTCGACTTGTATATTGGAAGACTCAAAGGGCGTTAAGTCGTAAGAATTACCAGAATCCCAACTTTCAAAAAGTTTGGCAGAGGGTCATTTTCCGAAAGGATCTAGCGAAATCCTTTTAAATGCATCTATTTCGAAAGCATCAGTTATGCAGTTCTCCAAACTCTACGCCTACTTCGTATTAACATTAACAAGATTAAAAGCAACTGAAGTCAAGGAAGTAAGCAATCATTGACGTTAAGGAATTACGTCACGAACGATTAGTTTTACGTTTTGAAGTCCAGTTAAGGTACCGTTACATATAATGAATAATAATCACATAATATATAATCAAAATTCCAAATAATGCGTATCTACTATGAAAGGCATGATAAGAATGTTAAAGGATAATTGCTGTTTAACAGTTCTGTTTTTTCCCTAGCATCAATTTTATGAAGTAATAATGTACCTAGACGTTTAATAAATAGTGAAATCGTAGTGGCCTTAGGCAACATGTGAAGGTTTTGAGATGCCATCTATTGAATTTGTGTCATACTTTCCTGATGTGTTGTATAGATACGTTAAACAGATGGCGTAGTATACCTACCTAAAAGTAACTGTTCTATTTTTTTTTGACAATAAGATTAATTGAAGTAATGTTTTTTAACATTTTTAAGTAATTCATTAATGTCAAATCAGTAATTCAACAATCAAACAATTGACCATCGTTTCACCTTTTCTTACAAACTAAATTTCTTGCTTATTTTATTACATTCTGGAATAGAAAACCATAAAGGTAAAGCTGTTTCAGAATTTCCCGTCAATTTATATGGTACCCCGCCCATACTTTTCCTAAAGAATTATTTATCGGAAGAATTCAAATGCAATTGTGATTAGATTAGTAAATTCTAATAAAAATCGTTTCTATGAAAAGTAATAGCCTGTAGATTACAGCCAAATGTTGAAAAACATAATACACTTTATTTTGTTCTTATTTTTTTAGTTTTTTTGCAATAAGTAGGTAGTAAAAACATTTATAAAACAATCACAAACATTTTCCAGGAAATTTATTTTTATTTTAAACTGTATTGGGATAATTATGACTTAATATAGATAACAATTAACTTTCACTGTAAAGGAAGTAATTGAGCATAAAGTAGTTTTCTAACATTATCAGAAAGTTGTGCTTTTCGTCTTGTGTAATGAACCAACACTAACTTTTTAGCTTGTAAATATGTCATGAAACTTCTAACTTTTAACTTTATTCCTATAATTCTCGTTTTATGGTCAAAATTCACTTGTTTTGTAATCATTTATGCGACCTCAATGCAACCAAAATTGTTTTGAATAAGTGGTACGTAACCCAATTTTAGGTAATATCAATAAAATTCATACCTCGTTTAAATTCTACAATATTACAATATAAATTGAAGGCCACACTTAAGGTATTGACTTAGAATTGGGCAACTTGCAATAATTTTTAAAATTTACATCAGATTTACCTTTTTACCTATACTACTAACACCTACATGCACCCAATATCTTTATTAGTAAATGGTAAAACGGTACATTAATGTTAAGTGTTAAAATTTTTATACCTCGGAAACAATTGAGCTTATAATAATAACGACATGTAAACAATCTTGAAGACAAATTTGTAATTTTTAGATTTTTACACCAAAAGCGTTCAATGGATAGGGACCAAAACAATGTTCTTTCTATAAAGACTAATCTCATAATCATGCTTAGGCATTTAGAAGACCGAAACATAGATTTGAAATTCCCACACAATATGTAAATCGTTGGTTAAATCATAATGGTCGTCAGTCCTAAGACTGGTTCGACACGCACCTCCATTCTTTCCTATCCTGAGCTAATCTTCGCATTTCTCTAAAACTATAACATCCTACATCTTTAACTATTTGCGAACAGTAGTCTAATCTAGGTCTATCTCTACTCCTTTTAACTCCTGTTTCTGCCTCTAATGTGTCTCTTACTAGATCTTTATGCCTGAGAACGTATCCTACCAACCTATCTCGCCTATTTCTTATTGACTTCCATAGAGTCCTCTATTCTGCTATTCTTGCAAATATCTCTTCAGTTCTAACCTTCTCCATCCATGGTATCCTCATCATTCGCCCTTAATACCACATTTTGAACGCTTTTAAATCGTATTTAATATTATAAAAATCTTTATTTTAACAGGGACCAAAACAATGTTCTTTCTATGAAAAATATTCTCATAATCGTAGTCAGGGATTTAGAAGATCAATATTTATAATTATTGTTGTCGCTGAAAAGAACAAAATCTTACTCATCCAAATTTGAAAAATGGTTAAAAAGGACAGGAAATTATAAATCATTTCGTTCAATTTCCTTATGCGGTTTCTGTCATTCATATTTAAATTTGCTTGAACCACTGCAGAGAGGAAATTTTGGGCATCCAAATTGGAAAATTGATTAAAATTATAAATCATTTCTTTCGATATAGTAAAAACTCATTTTCCTCAAAAGACATGTCACCTTGTTTGTTTCTAGCGCGAACTGGTACATCTACAATTGAAATTCACTTAATCCAATGTACACTGTGTAATGTGCAAAATTTTGCGTGTCCAAATTTGAAAATTGGTTTAAAAGGACCCGGAAATATGAATTATTTCCTTTGATTTCATAAAATTAGATTACATTTTTATCAATTTACGAGACCCTGTCGCGCTTATTTCATATACAATTTAAATTAGTTTAAACCCATTGATGGAGTTTGGAGTTCCTTACACAAGTTTCAGTGGGGCTCCCTTTCCATAAGATAAAATAAAATGCAAGATTCCTAATAAATAATACATAAATCCGAGTATTTATAGAAATTGACAATAATAGAGGCGATAAGATGAAAGTTTTCCGAAAGGATTGAACATTCTTCAATCGATATCGAAAAGAATACAAGTAATTGATAAGATTATTGCTTAAAAAGTCAAACGAGTCTCGTGGTCAAGTAAATTTTAATTAACTATAGCATAAACTTAAAGAAGTGAATGGCAAAAACGGAATATTTTTTTTATTACTAGTTTTGAATGATCAGTGTGACAACATTCGTTCGATAGAAGAATGCGAACGTGATGATAACCGTTACTTTCCCATTTTCAAGAACTCATCAGCACTATATGCTCCATTAACCGTTTCGTTTTGAGGGCAAGGTTAACAAATCGATTCATGCACCTTTTTTTTTTCTTTTTACACTACGCCCACTGTTTTGCTCTCATTATTTTTCGAAATAAAAGCGAATACCTCGTGCAGTGTTAATGAGACCACAAAATTTTTGCACATTCGTACAAGAAAAATAAATGCATGTAGGTACAGAAAAATATCCCTAACGCAAAAATAAACACCCGTTTCAGTTAAATTAGTAAAAAGGAGTTTTCATATTCTTCTTTAGTCAATTCTACTTTTGGCTAATTCTTTAATAAAAACTGTGGTTTAAGTGGAATAGACGCTTTAGTTTTAACTAAGATTATCGAGCAATTCTAGTTTTACCTAGTCAAAACTAGAATTATCTATAAAGAGGGTTGCTAAAACTAGAAAAATCGCATTTTAACTGATCTGAGATTAGGTTACCACGGTAATAGATTCAACACTAACTAACTGTTGTTACCTAATTATTAACAAGTAAAATTGATTTGCTGGAAAGTTATTCTTGAAAATATTCTATTAAACATTAGTGATCTAACTGTTTCCTTATAAATTGGGGTTCTATTATTCATTCTTTAGAGCATATTCCTGATCTTTTAGTTATTGCTATACAAATATTTTGATTTTAAAAGTTGTGAGTTTGTTTGTTACGTTTTCAGGCCTTAACTGTTCAACCGATCATTATGAAAATTCGTACACACTTGTCAGGGGTACACAGAAAAGGACATAGGGTATCTTTTATCCAAAAAATACTGTTCCTGCGGGATAGGAAATGTACTTAGAGAAACAACGCGAGCGAACCTACCATGAGATTTTATATACATATTGTCATGGATTTATAGGTATATAGAAAAACAATACTGATCCCGAGGGACAGAAAAATTAGTTTCAGGTGGTCGTCGATGTTCTTCGATACGCATTTGACATCTATACACCGTTTGCTACGTTTTTGACGTTTTTTTATCATAATTTTATGGTTTACATCTGCAAGTATTAGAAAATTAACAGAATACAAATCAATAAATCATTGGAAATGAATATCGATATGTGTGAAATCATGAGAAAACCTGATTTCACGTTGCAGTATTCAACACACTTAGATTTAAACGTTTATTTTTAACTATTCGTCAGCAGAACTCACCGAAAGAGTGACCACTCAAACTTTTAAGAATGTTCCAAAATCGCATAATTGCTTGTCATAAATTTGAAGATATTGTTATCAGCTGAGTCATCTCTAAAAGTTGTAGGTACAAATTTTTACTAAATGGTTACATTTTAAAAAGAACACTCTGTACATATGAATAATGTATATGCATGTGCAAGTAGGAAATCCTTGTTATTAAGCTGTCGGATTTTGAAGGACTGGTGCATCGTGAAGGCTTATCATTAACCGATCCGATTCGATTTGGATCAATAGCGAGCAGGAAGAGTGAGTAAGTGGTCAGGGCTCACAAGCAGGGGTCTGCTACTACCTTTGAAAGAAAGAAGTAGCAGTTGGAGGGGAAAACCCGTAAAGGTCGCGGACAGGAGGTCGACCAGGTGAGTTCGCGTCTAACAAACAAACGAATCAACGGTCTCATCCATCGAATCGTGCAGACTTTACTTGATCGGTTTTCAATGCTGCAAGTTTGTACTTCGTGAATGAGTACATGCAGTAGCAGATAGACAGAGTTTTGAGTTTGAGTTTCTAAGTCTTCAGCGTACATACATACATATATCTACCTCCATCGCCGTGACCGAATTACGGCCGTCCGTAGCGCTTACCTTGACATTGCTTGCTGAAGTTTCCCCGTTTGTTCGTCGTCTATTGTTGCCGTATTTGTTACCTGATGCTTTTCTAGCCAGAATACATCACGCATACAATCCTTTATTTGTCCTTTTGTACGTAACGGCCAGGGAATTTGTAGCAGCCACCTTCGACTTTCCGGATGTACCGTACGATTAGTTATAACAAAACAAAAGTTTCTTATACTTTGCAACAATCAAAGCAAAACTAGTTGGCAGTAACAATATTGAGGGTAAGTCTTTTTTTTATAACAAATACTTTTATTTCACTACATAAATAATTAAAAACTGAATGGGGTTTCAACTTTAAGAAAGTCTCCGATGTAGATATATATGAGTCCTGAGGTAAGCCAACAATAAGTTGGTCGAAACGTTGAAAAATATCGGTTAGTTTACTAGAAATTCAAAACATATGGTATTTATGGATAAAATATAATATAAAACGAGTGTAATTTGTGTTAAACAAATGTTAGTTTTAACACTATTTTTTTTACGTATTTTTTAATTGTCTTAAAATCCTTAATCACAATTAAATTATAGAATTGTTTCAATTCGTTGAGTAGGACTAGTTAACTATTTAGATCAAATGTTTATACGTTGCGCTTTTTTGCACCTTAATGCTACATGTAGGAATTGTAATTATTAATGCCAATTTAATTCGTATTCAAATTATCGAATTGCTAATCTACAAGTTTATCGATATTAATTACAAAGAAATTAAATTTCACTTTAAGCGACGATGATCCATGATAAAAAGTTTAATTAAAAACATAATTACATGTCCATATACAGAGTGTTTTAGAAATGATGTCACTATTTTTTTTCAGTTTCATAAAACATCGACATAAATTTCACAGTAGGACAGATACTTATAATACACTTTTAGATATGTATACAGGGTGTTAGGTAACTTCAAGCACGCTGTAATAGTGAATCTAAGAACGTTAAATGTTTTGAAATTAGCAAAAAAAAGAAGAAAAATTAATCTCCTACTGAATATATCTCAAAATTTAATAGTGAAATTTCCTCTTTGGATGTTTTTGTTTGTAAACAATTTGGTTTATTTGTTTATTGTCTAATCGTAAGTAAATATACTGTGTACACGGTAAGGTTTTTCCGATAGATATTTAAATATTGTATGTTGGGCGTGTGATGCAATTTAGAATGGGGTTTTTACATTTTACCGTTTTATTACAACAATAAATTATTTTATAAATAAATACGCTTTATTTCTGTAACTCGAAGGCTTGAAATAAATGGGATTGTACAAGTGCTTCTGTTTTGAATATTTTTATCGTAATTGTAATTGATAATTGTTTCAAAAAAAAAATTTTTAATCAATTTGCAACTTCTGTAGACTGTAATTCGAATAGTAAAGTGAATTATAACATGTTCTGCTTATTTAGATATATGTCACTCGTATTTCAAAAGGTAAAGAGTTTTCCAAGGATAGCTAGTCTTATTAGAATAATCTTGTTATTATCCATGCAGTAGTGTTTGTAACCTTGAAATAATATTTTTTCAGATATTAAATATAAGCCGATCGCACATACCTGTTGGTGCATTAATTACTCACTAAAGCTTTAATTATCGCATGTTTCATACCTACCGTATAAAAACGGCTTCGTTTCAATTTTACTGATAAACGACAATTTTATTTTAAAAACAATTTCGTTTATGTTTTGAATGCATCTTTCGAACCTTTCCATGTTCTCAGAGAATTTTTCGATAAACTCTCATCGTCACAAGATCATTAATTGAAGAGACGACTTCCCACCATGGTAGTTCTTCACCATTTTTAAAGCCTTACCAGTTTTCGGGAAAGAACAAAGAAGGACTTTCTAACTTTCAATACAACAACAGTGGAAGGTTCAGTTACATTAGATTTATCTTGCTATAACTGCTTCCAAATTTCACTCCAAAGGACTCAGCTAGATCCCTCTGTTAAACTCTTTGAAACTGATTTCTGGTAGTTCTTGATGTGTAGGTCAAGAATCTCAATGGTCGTAAGTCGTAAAAACTTATATTTTTTAGATATGGTCCCTTAAAGTTCCATTCGTCATCCGTAAGGACTTCCAGGGTACAATTATACCTATTATACATATTAAATACGTTCAAGTAAACACATACACATATCACGATCTGATACTTATTATATGTGTCTTGCACATTACGAATATGTCATGGTTTCGAACGAGGGATGACAAAAGTTGTCTGATTACACCTCTGAGTACACCAACTTTCCCCATTAGTACCTACACTATGACGTTGAGGTGTTCTTTACTTTTTCAGAATGCATTAGCATCCCTGGTGCGAAACCATAAGTATATACTTGAACGTATTCAATATAAATGTACCTTGGAAATCCTTAAGGAAGAATGCAACTTTAAGGGACCATATATCTCAAAAAGGAGAGTTTTTACGCCTTAGCACTTATTAAAACTTTTGATCTACACGTCGAGAACTACCAGAATCCAAAGTTCAACAAGGTCATTTTCCGTAAGTATCTACTGGGTTCCTTTGCTGCAAGTTGCTTCTAAACCAAACAAAGCAACTCAAACTTCTTTTTCTTCTTAACAAGAGCATCAGTTCCGGAATTAGAGCTTTTATATTTTTATATCTTATTATTGAATAATATCAGCAAGTATCTCCTTAAAGAAACACGTAAACTCTTACAGATGATTTACATATTTAGCTTTTATTTTGTACAGTTGTCAAACTTTATCGAACTCTCTAAACAGCCTTCATCTAAAATGAATCTATCCTAATACAGAAAACCTTGCAGAAAGTTGTTATAGAAAATCGTAGATTAACGATAATTGTTTATAGTAGAATAAAAACATATTGTTTATTATGTTTTACTGACAATTTTGTTGATACAATGTGTGACCACTTCCTACTGTCCCTTTATCAGCTTAGAGAACGATTACAGAACCCTCAGAATTCTTTAGAAATACTAATAAAACTACCCCATTTTATATCTCTAGTTATCTGCCGAATAAAACATTAAATTCATTTAGACATTTTGATTTGAATCGTGCTAAATAAACAAAAAAAACAGAGTCAAATTTTATAGGCATAGATACAAATAAGAATATCTTTTTTTTTTTCATGGAAAATTTCATAATTCCCTTACATTCGCAAAAGAATAGCTCATTTAAACATGTTGTCTGAAATATGTACAATTAACCATGTGGATGGCTAATTAACTCTCCTAATGAACATTTCCTGTCCATTGTACTAGTCGTAATTCTACTTTTTCGTTTTTTCTTGCGGTTTACCCCCTAAGCAGCGCTGAACAGAGTCGTAATTTAATTATTTTAAATTTTAAATCGCGCTAGTCCATAACAGTAGAATGTGGAGAGCTCCACGCCATTTAGTTCGCGGACCGAATAATTGCCTTCAATATTGTTGGATGTCTGCCACAAATAATTGATTTTAATGCACGGTAATTACATGACAATCATTTTCATTATCCCGGTCACAATGTTGATAATTCGAAATTTCACCTTTTCTACTCACGATTCATACCTACCTGTCAATGACTACTTATTAAATATGTGAAATGATTTGAAAGTGTTAACAAAATGATGAAAGTGACAAAAAATAAGGAAACTGCACGTCTGACTTGGAGATATATACGTACTTATAATTTATAATAAATAGAACTAGTTTCGAGAACAATCGAAATTCGACCAATCTGCTTTCCAATAAATAATTGAGATGCATTTAAATTTTAATACTTTGAAACAATCAGGAACAAAATTGTGATAATCGGAACAATTCCAGGCCAATGCACCACATTGTTTTACTTTTTAACTTGTCTTAACGACAAAATATACAAATTATTCTTATTCTTATTTTGGACACAATATTCTTTGAATGATATAATATTTATTTGAAACCAGTTTTTCGATTTTTTATTTACCCACTACAAACTACCTCAAATTAATGAGGGAAAAATTGTTGCTGTTGTTACCCCCCGCCGGGAATCGAACCCGGGACCTTTGGCTTTACGCACCAATGTTCTGATCACTAAACCACGAGAGGTGACAACAGCAACAACGATCAACCGACCTACAAGGTTAACGATCCGTCGATTTTTTATTAACTTAATTATATATACCATAAATATATGAAATCCTATGACATTGTTAGTTACTTAATAGTGGATTAATATGCAATATTAATTTGAAATCATTTTTTCGATTTTTTATTTACCCACTACAAACTACCTCAAATTAATGAGGGAAAAATTGTTGCTGTTGTCACACC